GTTACTGCATGTCCGTCACACTCCGTGATGATCCATCTTCTTTACAGGTGGATCTTTGTTCTCTGAGTGACGGTATTTTTTTTATCTTGTTTGACATTTCCCACAGTTACGGGGTAATTTGTAAACCCAACTTAAAGGGTTGCTATTTTTAGAATTACTTAATAATAATTACTTAATAGCGCATTAAGTTTATTAGAGCATTATCATAACGTGACTTAGGTTCAGTTTATTATTTTAGACGTTATTTTTGACATTATTAATGCTACAGGTTGATTAACAAGTATCGTAATAAGTACAAATAACTTATTCTATGGTTTATGGCGAACGAACTTAAAAATAATAATTTTTATCACAAAAGGTTGCATTAATGATTTATTTCTTTGTTAATAAATTCATTACTACGGAGTTTATAAACTCTGTTTTCTAAAGCTATGATTATATAAAGTTAATAACTTTTTACATCATAGAAGCGAATGCTTTTTCCTTCGATGGTAATTTTTTTAAACATACCTAAAGGGCACCCATGGACAATCCGTCTCCTCTCATTCTTGCCGAAATTTGAGTAATTACTATTTCTTATTACTATCTCGCTGTACATTCGTGGCTCAGAAATTAGATGCCTGTAGAAATAACGACTCACCACTGGAGAATTGTCAACTGCTGCTATGCTACATAGCATATAATGTAATGGTCTTTCGGTTAGTCGCTAAACCATATATCATCATTGATCCATTTTTACAAAATACCGAACTTGCCATTTATGCTGTTCCTGCATTGCTGGGTTCAGTTACTTATATTGATACACACGTGACATTGTCATGGTCAATCCATAATGAGGGTTAAATGACAGGACTACGTAAGGAATGCACCTGTTCTCTTCCGGAAACAGGTGGCCTTGGTAGAAAGACAGTTAGAATTTGGACCTTGGACATTTAGAAAGTTTGACCCTCTTGGACAAACTGACTGAGCATAAAGCATTTACTTCATCCGTGAGCTTCTCGTGTTGTAAGCGAAACACGACAGACGTCGAGCAAAAGGTCAGCGTGCTAGATGGATGAAATGGTAGAGGCAGGTCTGCTTTCATAGAGGAAAATTTGCTTCTCTAATCCAGTAACCAGTGCCTTTTAGCAGTGTTGGAAATCTGCGGATACAGCGAAAATTACAAATCAATCACTTATTACTAATGCAGATGGCTAAAGTTACGATTTCAGCAAACAAACAAACACCTTTCGGTAAAACAGTTTAATGATGTAAAAAAATGTAATGTACATTTACTGATTGTAGAATCAAATGCTTTATTCGATTGTTAAACTGATGATACGTTGTAACGTAATTTTGTTATCATGTATTATTTACACTGTAATAGTGGTGTGCGCCGTTATACTTCATTATCGGCATAAAATATCGTCAAAAGAATATATTACATTGTACTACCTGTCTGCTAATTATCTATATGGTTATTTTCTTTATTCGTTTCTTATGTCTAATATTTAGGCCTTCTGTAAATGCGAATGATAGAATAATGCAGTTCTCATCTTTTTTTATTTATAAATTGTTTATAGTGGTTAATTAATCTCATTCAATTTTAGCCGTCACTGTGGTAGACTACTTTGTGGCAAGTGTAGCGAAAATAGCGTTCTTATCATGAAATACAAAGCGCAGAAGCCTTTGCGCGTTTGCAGCCTATGTTGTTCTGTTCTTACTTTTGGCGTACCTACTTAAAACCTCATTTATGTTTTTATATATTGTTTATTTATTTGTTATATAGTTGATACATATTTTGGTGCTTTAAATTGAACATGCTAAATGCGATTTTGCATATTTGAATTTATCGTTTTAAATGCATTTTGATCACACGAAATGGCGCAGTGTGCTTGAACTTGTGCACTTACCGTATGCGACTCTGTAGCCACATGTTGATTTATCCCCTTATGTTTCATCGTAGCACTTAACGCTTCATGAGCACGTTGCCAAGGATTTGTCAAATAATTGATTTTCAGTGTTTATGTATTTTATGTGGAATTTAGGCAAGAACCAGTGGAGTTGATACGAATGCTAAAAAATATGGAAGCGAATGTATAGGTCATGAACGCGTGCATATCAGATTATCTTCATCTTCCATCTCCGCTTCTCCTTTCGGGTCGCGGAGGCAGATGCGTCAGACATTGCTTCCAACGTTCCCGATCCTCTGCCAGAGTCTGAGCTTCGGCACTAGACAACAGGAATCTGGAACAGACTCCTACCATATATTTGCACCAGGTTAATCTTGGCCGTTCCCTAGGCCTTTCGCCGGTCGGATTTGCAAGCAGCAGTTGCTTAGCCTTCCTTTCTGGAGGCATTCGCAACACATGCCCAAGCCATCGCAGCTGTGACTTATCA